GGAAGGAGACTAGTATGTTTGTGAGGGTGTTACGATTTATTGAGATTATTTATATGTGTTGTAGTTTTGTTGTAAATGGTATTAGTTGTTGTATATTTGTATGTATATTATTATGTTTATAAAACTTGTGTCTCTTTTGAAAACTACAATGTTTTATCTTGAGGCTAAAAACGAAAAATATGTTGTTGTACTTAAAACAATAACAATATTTGTACACAAACAAACACACTTAAAATCCATGTTTGTAGTTGTTTTGTTAATTTGCAAAATATTTTTGAAGCATACTCTAAGGGTGCTATTTAAGAACAATACAAATATACCAGCAACATATTTTTGAATATTTATTATACTTTTGCAACATTTAAACGGGGCGGGGGTGGAAGTTGGGGGGTGGTATTGTCAAGTAGATCTTTATATTTGGGGATGTTAAAAGTTTTTGTTTAAAAAGGTTTAGATAATTATAATGGCTAGTTCTTTTGTATCGAAACGAAAACTGTGTTGGAACTCTATTGGCTTCGAATAATTTTTTTCAGAAAATTTTTAATAAATTTCCTTTTTTAAAACCTTCATAAGATTTTCTTTCTATAAAATATTTGTGATAAATTTTCTTTTAATAGAAAATTTGCGATAAATTCTCTTTTTATAGAAATTTTTTTTCGATAAATTTTCTTTTCATAGAAAATTTTCGATAAATTTTTTTTTTCATAGAAAATTTTCGATAAATTTTTTTTTTTCATAGAAAATTTTCGATAAATTTTCTTTTTATAGAAAATTTTCGATAAATTTTCTTTTTATAGAAAATTTTCGATAAATTTTCTTTTTATAGAAAATTTTCGATAAATTTTCTTTTTATAGAAAATTTTCGATAAATTTTCTTTTTATAGAAAATTTTCGATAAATTTTCTTTTTATAGAAAATTTTCGATAAATTTTCTTTTTATAGAAAATTTTCGATAAATTTTCTTTTTATAGAAAATTTTCGATAAATTTTCTTTTTATAGAAAATTTTCGATAAATTTTCTTTTTATAGAAAATTTTCGATAAATTTTCTTTTTATAGAAAATTTTCAATAAATTTTCTTTTTATAGAAAATTTTCAATAAATTTTCTTTTTATAGAAAATTTTCTATAAATTTTCTTTTTATAGAAAATTTTCTATAAATTTTCTTTTTATAGAAAATTTTCTATAAATTTTCTTTTTATAGAAAATTTTCTATAAATTTTCTTTTTATAGAAAATTTTCTATAAATTTTCTTTTTATAGAAAATTTTCTATAATTTTTCTTTTTATAGAAAATTTTCTATAATTTTTCATTTTATAGAAAATTTTCTATAAATTTTCTTTTTATAGAAAATTTTCTATAAATTTTCTTTTTATAGAAAATTTTCAATAAATTTTCTTTTTATAGAAAATTTTCTATAAATTTTCTTTTTATAGAAAATTTTCTATAAATTTTCTTTTTATAGAAAATTTTCTATAGAAAATTTGCGATAAATTTTATTTTTACAGAAAATTTGCGATAAATTTTATTTTTACAGAAAATTTGCGATAAATTTTATTTTCATAGAAAATTTGCGATAAATTTTATTTTCATAGAATATTTTCGATAATTTTTTTTATAGAGAATATTCGATAATTTTTTTTATAGAGAATATTCGATAATTTTCTTTTTATAGAAAATTTGCGACAAATTTTTTTTATAGAGAATGTTCGATAAATTTTCTAGAGAATGTTCCATAAATTTTCTTTCTATAGAGAATTTTTGATAAATTTTCTTTTTATAGAAAATTTTCGATAAATTTTCTTTTTATAGAAAATTTTCGATAAACTTTCTTTTTATAGAAAATTTTCGATAAACTTTCTTTTTATAGAAAATTTTCGATAAAGTCCTTTTTATAGAAATTTTTCGATAAATTCTCTTTTTATAGAAAATTCTCGATTAATTTTCTTTTTATAGAAAATTTTCGATTAATTTTCTTTTTATAGAAAATTATCGATTAATTTTCTTTTTATAGAAAATTTTCGATTAATTTTCTTTTTATAGAAAATTTTCGATTAATTTTCTTTTTATAGAAAATCTTCTATAAATTTTTTATAGAGAATTTTTGATAAATTCTCTTTTTATAGAAAATTTTCGATAAATTTTATTTTTTTAGAACATTTTCGATAAATTTTCTTTTTATAGAACATTTTCGATAAATTTTCTATTATAGAACATTTTCGATAAATTTTCTTTTTATAGAAGATTTTCGATAAATTTTCTTTTTATAGAACATTTTCGATAAGTTTTCTTTTTATAGAACATTTTCGATAAATTTTGTTTTGATAGAAAATTGTAGTTAAATTTTCTTTTTGAGAAATTTTTTTATAGAATTTATTTTTAAGAAATTTTTTGATAATTTTTATTTATATAGAAAAGTTCTCTTTTTCAATAAATTCTCTTTTTTATAGAAAATTTTCGATAAATTCTCTTTTTTATAGAAAATTTTCGATAAATTCTCTTTTTATAGAAAATTTTCGATAAATTCTCTTTTTATAGAAAATTTTCGATAAATTCTCTTTTTATAGAAAATTTTCGATAAATTCTCTTTTTATAGAAAATTTTGGATAAATTTTTTTTTCTAGAGAAAATTTCCGATAAATTTACTTTTATAGAAAAATTGTAAAATTTTCTTTTGGTAGAAAATTTGTAAAATTTTCTTTTGGTAGAATAGTTGCAATAAATTTTCTTTTGATACGAAATTTTTGACAAATTATCTTTTTATTGGAATTTAAAAATATTTTCCATTTCAACAAATTTTTAATGCTATTTAAATATTTTTTCGTTCGCTATTTACAAATAAACAATCATAAAAATATAATTGACAGCATGCAATGCTTTTGATTATAATAATATTTTTTTTATTATGTCGTTTTCATATATTTTCCAATCATTTGTAAATTTTCGTTATAGTTGTTAAATTCAAAACATTCAAATCATAGTAGTTTATTTATTTTTTTTTTGTACACAAACAAATACTTATATGCAAATATATATATGTATATATACATTTATATTTATTAAACCTAATTTGAAATGAAAGAAAATGTTTTAATTTACCAAATTTTATTGAAAATAATTAGAATGTTTTTTAAACAAAATGCGTTCAATTTTATCTACTCGTTTAATAGACACATGAAATTTAAATGTTTTTTTTTTTAAGTTTAATAGTTTTCTATTTGCTTTTGTTGTAGCAAAAAGTGCTGGTCTAAACTAAAAATTCATAAAAATATATATTATAGAATATAAAAACAATTTATTGAAAAAATTTAAATGATTATTAAGTGAAATTTAATAAAGAAGCAATTTGTTATAGATTTCGACAGACGACAGAAAATTTATAGTTTAATATTAGTTTATATACATTTTAGAAGATTTTTTGGACAGATGTTTGGTTGAAATAGCAGAATTTTAGGAATTTGTATTAATAGTTACTATAATAAATGGTCCTTCGAACCTTAAGAAATTTTATGGTTGGACCAAGTTTCACAGGAACATAAATCGTCCTTCGAAACTTAAAAATAAATATTAATTTTAAACTCAGCAGACTCTATATGAAATTATGGTAATATTAGATGCTTAAAAATGGTTCTTCCAATTGAGGCAGTTTCTGGTACATTTGGCCAAGTATGATTCGGAACGTTATGAAGCGACGAACAAATTGTCGTGGTAACGAAAGAAAATTAATAGAACTTGGTTTTGCAGCTTTTGTCGAGATACGAGTATATTACACATAATTATCAACTTAAAAGCCCTATTCAGCGGGTTCAGTTGTATGGGGGCTAGGAGAAATAATGGACCGATGTTAACCATTTTCGTCTCCGGTACAATAGCAGATCATGTACCAAATTTCATTGAATTATCTTTAAAATTGCGACTTGGATGGACGGACAGACAGACGGACATAGCTAAATCGACTCAGAAAATGATTCTAAGCCGATTGGTATACTTTAAGCTGGGTATAGGACCAATATTATTGTGCGTTACAAACATCAGCATATACCCCTACCCACTAAAGTGGTGTAGGGTATAAAAATTACAATTTCAAATAAAGGACATAAAATGGTCCTTCGAACTATAAAACAAAATACACAAAACTAATAATAGATAATTAGATGAGTGTTAAGTTCAGTTTCGAACTAAGTAATCTTATTCCAACCAGACTCCATTTACAATCTTTTAGTGATGTTTTCAAGATTTTAAAGCAAATAACATGGTCCTTCGAACCTAAACAGAGGGAAAAGGAAATAGAACACGCCTGGTACCAAATTGACACCAAAGAGTTTAAATGTTTCAATAACATCCGTTTTCAAAGTATATTAATACGTGCGACAACACTATGTAATGTTTATAACGCAACATTGGCAACGGATTGTTTGTCAATAGTGAGCTTACCACATTTGTTAACATTTAGACAACGGATGTGTATAAAATTTAGATTTCGACAACGAATTGTTGCAATGTTGTCAACATTACATAATGTTGTCGTACGTATATATATACTTTGACAACGGATGGTATTGAAAAATTATAAACAGTTTGGTGTCAATTTGATACCAGACGTGTATATTTCTTTCTCCCATAATCTGCTATTTCATTACACACCGCTGTCGACTAAAACACTTTAATTGCAAACTAAAGTCTAAAAGAACTTTTACAATAATTTCGTATTGAAAAAATGTCGATTTCTTGCATACCCACCTACAGTTGCTAACAAAACTTACAACAACAGAAAAAAAAAATCGAAATTCTCCAGGCAGGAAAAACACACACAGGGACAGATAAATGTAAAACACAGAAACTAATTAAGAACTAAAAATGCAAAATTGCATTTTCATTCGTTACGTTACTAAGGAAATGCAAAATAATTGGAAAATTTTGTTCGAAAACAAAAAAAAAAAAAAGAAATTACAAAAAAAAAAAGACAGAATTATATTTTAGAATTTGTTTCACAACACTCACTAGGCTGACATTATTTTGTTGCTGTTGCAGCTGCTGTTGTTGTTGCGAAGGTTTGCACTGAAGATGATGATGGTGCGGCAGTTGTTGCTGCTGTTGGTGGGTGTTGTTCGTATGATGATGCTGTTGTTGTTGCTGCTGCTGATGATTGTGGTGTTGGTGGTGGTGGTGCTGGCTGTTGTTGTTTGTATTATGATGATGAAAATGATTTTGATTTTGTTGCAGGCTTTGTTGTAGTCTTTTATTGTCTACTATTAAGCCTCCGCCACCTCCTACTCCACTGTTACCGATAACAGTGCCATTTGTTAAACTATTTGTTGTTGCTGTTGCCAGATTTAGGCCATTCAGAGAGGCAGCTGTATGAGGTGTAACAGTTTGTTGCTGTTGCTGTTGTGAATTTAAACCTAATACTGTTGTGACAGTTGCTGGAACAGTTGTAGTTGTTGCAGCAACAGCAGCAACATTTCCGGCAATACCTTGAGCTGTTTGTGGATTTGCGGATAAATTGTTATTGTTGCCACCATTCACATATTGTAATGCATTGTGTGCTGTTGCCAGATTATTCTATGACAAAAGTTTGCGGAGTAGAGATTATATTTTTTTTATTTAGTTTATTTTCAATTTAAGTTTTATGGTTTCTAATACTTTTTATTGTAACATAAAAATGTGTGTTTTTTTTTAAGATTGTATATTTTCGAACCAACACCAACATTATTATTAATAATTTTTTTTAGGAATGCAGATTTTTTTTAAAAAAAAAAAAGTTACTAAAAGAATTTTGTTTTCTTTATACAAATTTTTTTTGTCTTAAAAATCACTTGCCACATGCCATTGTTTGTTTCCGTAACTAAATAAATGTTAACAATTTTATTTTTAACTATTTTAGTTATAAGAATTATTAAATAAATTTGTTTTTTTTTTAGCAATTTACCATCATACTTTTTTAAATATTCGTTCATTTATATTGTTACATACAAAGAAAGAATGAGAAATAAAATGAAACAACATTTCCAAGTTCTAAATGAAAAAGTTAATGTAGAGTTAAATATTTTGTTGTTCTAGTATTTAGTTTGTAAATAAATTAATGAAAGGAGTTACACTTAGACATGCTCAACCTCAACCACAGGTGTTTGTTTGTTTGTTTAATAATTTGTATCTGTAAAAAAAGCTCTATATTGTAGGTATAAGTAAGTAGATAGAAATGATGAGATGCTAAAATGTTTTTGGTTTTTAAAAGTTGTTCATAAATGCAGCCTTAAGTTAAAACATTGAATGCATTAAAACATTATATAAATTATTGAAGAAACTAAAATTTACATTACATTTTTCACTTAACAAACTAGAGGAGTTAAGGGGGGGAGATTTGTTGAAAGTATAAAATTAAAGAAATTTAATTAATTTAAATTTAGATCTATAGAAAAATAGCTCCCTACAGATAAAAAACTTCAAACGTTGAAATTTGTGCATCAAATACTCTCTGTTCTAATTTTTATCAACAGATTATTTTGATCTACCTTTCATCTTTAGTACAATCATCAATGATCATTGGTATCAACATATTGTGAGAGGGAGAGAGTACAAATTCTTTCCAGAAATATCGACGATTGTTCTCACCTAAACAGAATTTTCGTTCATTTTCGAAAAAAAATGGTTTTGAAAGTGTGATGTGATTCTCGTTTAAGATGAATCGTGATAATGAAACCTGATTATTTGAGTAAAAGGCGTTAAACAGCAGGATTAAGTTTAACTTGAAGACAAGACAAGATCAGAGCAGTCAGAGGTAGTTCTAGGTCCACCCTGGTAAACAGATAACTGTGTAGTTTAGCCCTAACGGGCAGGTATACAGGTCAGTCTCTAATTGAAGGACAAAATGAGAATATTTTGATGGATATGAACCAGATGGTACTGTCATAATATGAGATTATCAATGCACTCATTCGGATTATTTCCTTTATCAAATATAACAGAGATCAGTTGTACTTTTTGAAACTTTATGTCTCTTGATCCATCGATTAACTGATCCATTGCCCTGCTGATCTGATATTAGTTCTCTTGATTAATAATCTTTTCGATCTCTTGATATATTAATCTATAAATCCTACAGATGTTTAATCAAGTCTCAAATAAACTAAAACTAACTAATCTATAGATCCTTTGATCTATTGATCTTTCAATATTTTGGCAAAGCTATCATTTGATCTATCGATCTTTCGATTTTTTGATGTATCGATCTCTTCGTTTATCGATTTCTTTATATGTCGATCTCTTGATCTGTCGATCTCTTGATATGTCGATCTCTTGATCTGTCGATCTCTTGATCGGTTGATTTCTTGATCTGTCGATTTATTGATCTGTTGATTTCTTGATCTGTCGATCTCTTGATCTGTCGATGTTTTGATCTGTCGATCTCTTGATCTGTCGATCTTTTGATCTGTCGATCTTTTGATCTGTCGATCTTTTGATCTGTCGATCTTTTGATCTGTCGATCTCTTCATCTGTCGATTACTTGATCTGTCGATCACTTGATCTGTCGATCACTTGATCTGTCGATCACTTGATCTGTCGATCACTTGATCTGTCGATCACTTGATCTGTCGATCACTTGATCTGTCGATCACTTGATCTGTCGATCACTTGATCTGTCGATCTCTTGATCTGTCAATCTCTGGATCTGTCGATCTCTTGATTGGTTGATTTCTTGATCTGTCGATCTCTTGATTTGTCGATCTTTTCACCTGTCGATTCATTACTCTGCTGATCTGTCGATCCATCAGTCCCTTGATCTATCGATCTCTTGATTATTGATATTTTGATCTAATGATCTTTTGATCTATACAATGCTATAGATCTTTTGATCTATTGACCTTTTGATCTTTCGATCTCTGGATTAAGCGATGTTTTGATCTATTGATCTTACGATCTCTTGATCTATAGCTCAATGTATTCGTTCGGGTTATTTCCTTTATCTAATTTAACAGAGATATGTTGAACTTTTTGAAATTTAAAAACTTTATGTCTATTGATCCATCGATTTATTCACTGATCTATCGATTAACTGATCCATTGCTCTGATGGTCTGTCGATCTATCAGTTCTTTGATCTATCGATCTCTTAATTATTGATCTTTTGATCTATTAATCAATTGATCTTTCGATCTATTGATCCTTTGATCTATAGATCTTTGTTCCTCACAATTCTATAGAGCTTTTGATCTATCGTCTATTTCGATCTCTTGATTAGCCGATCTTTTGATCTATAGCTCACTTGACTTAACTAAAGTAATTTACTAACCTTTCAAACTTTCGAAGAAGAGGGTAGATAAAGGATATGAATCAGATGTTGTCGTTATAATATAATGCATTCATTCGGTTTATTTCCCTTGTCTAATTTAACACAGATCAGTTGACCTTTTTTTTAATAATTTTCTACGATTATAATAAATACATTACACAAACAATAATTGAAGACACACACTTTAAGGGGATTTAAATAAAAAATATTTATAAAAATAAATGAAATAAATTTTAATCATGTTCAAGTTAAATTTATTAAAATAAAAACATTTTTAAGTTTGTTTTTAATTAAAATATTTTAAACTAAATATTGAAGTAAAATTTTCTTCAGTTACTTTTATATTAATTCCATAAAATTAAAACATTACTAAAATTTATTAAAAATTAGTTAAATACCAGAAATATGCATTTCATAATTAAATTATTAAATAATTTTTAAAATATATGTATATAGTATGTTAAGCTAACAAAAATCTTTCAATATTATTTTCCAACATTCATTCTTAAAAGCTAAAAAATTTTAATTTTATACAATGCTTTTCTTTCTCCAAATACGTTTTCTTTTTTTTTTTTTTTTTGTTGCAATTTTATGTAATACAAAAACAACATGAACCGTAATAAATATATAGACAAATATTTTACATTAATTATAAATTATTATAGAAAAATATATATATTTTTTTTGTTCAATTTCAAACTTGTTTTCCAATTTGTTGGCAGAATTTGTACTTTTTTTGTTTATAACTTTCATTTTGTAAAACATGCAGAGAGTTTTATTATGGAATTGATAAATAATTTGCAAAAAAAATTGTTTAACAAATTTGTTCTTTTTGTTTTTAATACACAAATACATACATATCAACACAACAACTGTTTGTTTTTATTAACTAACACATGTTTAAAATGTAATAAAAAAAAAACGTGTAAGTGTATGTTGAAATCAGTTTGTTTTTTTAAAAAGGGGGGTTTGGGGAAGAGAGACACAGTTCTGCTATTTATTATGGATGTACGTATGCGTGTGTGTAAGAAGGATTTAATTACAATTATAGTTAAAAACAAGGATTTCGTTCACATTTTTTTGACAGGGGGATTTTTATTTGTTGGTTTGTTTTAAAAATTTAAATTTAACTAAAAATTAAATTAAGTTATAACAGTTTTTAATTGAAATATTAACAAAAACATAATAGCTATTAAATTTTATTGACAAAAGACAAAATTTGGCGAAGAATGAGAGGGTGGAGAGTGTTGGCACACAATCACAACGTTAAGTAAAATTTAAATTGAAATTATATCTCTTGATCCAACGATTCGCTGATGTATTGATTAAATGATCCATTGCTCTGATGATCTTTCCATCTATCAGTTCATTGATCTATCGATACCTTAATTGTTAATCTTTTGATCTACCGATCTATTAATTTCTCTAGATTAAGTGATGTTTTGATCTACCGATCTCACTATCTATAGATCTCTTGATCTATATATCTTTCGATCTTTTGATCTTTCGATATCTTGATATATCAATTTCTTGATCTATCGATCTCTTAATCTATCGATCTCTTGATCTATCGATCCCTTGATCTATCGATCTCTTGATCTATCGATCTCTCGATCAATCGATCTCTTCATCTATCGATCTCTTCATCTATCGATCTCTTCATCTATCGATCTCTTCATCTATCGATCTCTTGATCTATCGACCCTTTGATCTGTCGATCTGTTGATCTATCGGTCTCTTAAACCATCCATCTTTTGATATGTCTACCTACCGATCTATCGATTTCTTGATATCTTGATCTGTCGAAATCTTCATCTATCGATCGATTTATTCACTGATCTATCGATTAACTGATCCATTGCTGTGATGGTCTTCATCTATCAGTAACTTGATCTGTCGATCTCCTGATTATTGATCTCCTAATCTAAATATGTATCTCTTAATCTATCGATCCTTCATCTGTCGATCTCTTGATCTATCGGTCTTTTGAACTATCGATCTCTTGATATATCTATCTCTTGACTATCGACCTATTTATTTAACGATCTCTAGACCTTTCGATATCTTTATTTATCGATATCTTGATCTATCAATTTTTTTATCTATCGATCTATTGATCTATAGATCTCTTGATCTATCTATACTTGATCTATCGATCTCTCGATCTATCTATCTTTTGGTTTATCGATTGTGTGATCCTTCGGTCTATTGATTTATCGATCTCTTCTATTACTGATCTATTAATATAAAAATCTTTTGACCTATCGATCTCGTAATATGTCGATCACTTGAACTAATGTTTTTTTTTGATTTATCGACCTTTATATATATCGATCTTTTGATATGTCTATCGCATATATTGGTCTATTATCCTATCGATCTTCGATCTCTTGAACTATCGATCACATGATCTATAGATCTCGTCTATTGTTCTATAAATATTGATCTATCTGTATTATTTCTATAGGCACATTATTGGTTACAAAAATAGCACATTGTACAAGAAAAGTGCAAACTAGTTCTTAGGTGTCTTATCTTATACACTACACTATAAAAACAGTATAAAGCTCAAATCTAAAAAAAAAATTTCTAAAGAACTTTAGGTTAGTTTCCTCGCATTTATGCTAAAATACGTTTAATAAATGAGTGAGTATATGAGTGAATTTTAAAAAAGCATTTAAATAAAATATAAATAAATTTAATGGAATTATGACAAAAAGTCAGTCTAAAAGAAAATACACCATTTTCCATAAATACTAAAATAACGAAAAATAATATATGAAAGGAAATACAACATAAATAAATAAAATAGTTTTCTATATAGACAAATGTAAATATTGATTGATTTTATATGCTAAAAAAAATATATATGACGAGATATGCAGACTCTTTTTTTTGTTGTTTAATAAAAAACATGCCATCCTCAATTTTTTTTATTAAAACAGAAAAACACAATAAATTTTTGTAACCCAAAAATAAGAGAAATTTATATACAACTGTATGACATAAACCATTTCCGATACCTTTTTTTATTAATAAATATATGTATGTTTGTATATAGAATAGATATATATGTTTGTATATATGTAAAGGTTTATACAGTTTTTTTTTTAAATACAAAAAATAAATATTAAAATAACAACAAAAAAATGAGGAAAAATCATAAATTTTTTGTTAAAAAATGAAAAATTAAAAAAGTAAAATAATTCAAGCAGACACTTACCTTTTTCTGTTGCAAATACATTTGAGCGGCAGCGTTTGTGGCAGCCATACCAGCAGCATTTGTATTATTGGCACCTGTATTATTAGCAGCTACAGCAGCAGCAGCGGCGGCGGCGGCTGCAGCAGCTGAACCTTCAGATTTAATCTGTGCTAGAGTATCATTTTTGACAGTACCCACAGACATGGTTAAACCATCTGTAGTTGCTTGTACTTGAGCCGCTGCTGGTGGATAGCCAGTCGGTGCGCCTGGATATGGCGCAACACTAGCCTGCACCATGTGCTAAAATGAAGAGGAGAAGAAAATCACAGGATTAATATACATATATATAGACTATATTCGTTGATAAAAGTAAAAAAAGGATATGCACATAAAAAATGCAAGTATTATAAAAGATTTATGGGTATTTTTATGTTATAGAAGTTATTTAAACAAAAATTTATACGCTTTACAAGCGTACGTACATACATATGTATGTATCTACATAATGTATATGTATGGAAATAAAATAGTTTTATTGCGGGTATAGTGGGTAATAAAAAAATGATTATTACCAAACAGCTTCAATGAAGTACAACACGAAATTTAAATTTATCTATTTATTAACAATTTCTTGACCAATATTAATCCACTGATCTATCCATCCATCCATCCATCCATCCATCATCTATCTATCTATCTATCTATCTATCTATCTATCTATCTATCTATCTATCTATCTATCTATCTATCTATCTATCTATCTATCTATCTATCTATCTATCTATCTATCTATCTATCTATCTATCTATGTATCTATCTATCTATCTATCTATCTATCTATCTATCTATCTATCTATCTATCTATCTATCTATCTATCTATCTATCTATCTATCTATCTATCTATCTATCTATCTATCTATCTATCTATCTATCTATCTATCTATCTATCTATCTATCTATCTATCTATCTATCTATCTATCTATCTATCTATCTATCTATTTATTTATCTAACTAGTAATCATATGAACTATTGATCTTGTCATTCGTTGATCAGTTAATTAATCGTGCTACTACTCGACTGTTCTGTTGATATACTGATGCATCGATCTGCTTGATCTATAGGTCGCAACTGATCTTTTGGTATATTAATCTTAACTTTTATAAATGCTGCCGAAGTTCACTTTTGCTAGACACTGTCAGTTAGTTTTTGTCTGCATCAAAACATATAAAATATTTACACGTAATAATTTATTGATATTTATTGTATGTTACATGAGAATTTCTGCAAATAAAAATGCAGCACCAATGGTATTAAAATTGAAAATTAATTAAATTTTAAAAGCCATATTTAAAAGGATTTATACAAAATAAATTAAAGGTTGTAGTAATGGAAAATGGATGTTTGGCATTACAACAAACAAAAAAAAAATATATATATATTACAAATATTTTAACAGTTTAACGAGTATGTTTTTATAAAAAAAACGATTTAAAGGTGTGATTATTAAAAGTTCAATGTTTGCTATAGGTTTATTGGTCAACATATAAGGCGTTCTTTATTGCAATTGATAGAAAAATCTAAATATGTATTGAATAGTTGATCCATTCATTAATCTGATCTGCTGTTATATTGATCTTCAACATAGTTAAAACTTAGGTACTACAGATATGTTATCATTTTTTATTGCTATATTTATCTATTACCTTTTTAATTTATTAATCATTGATCTAGTGATCACTTGATCTGTTGATCTTTTGAGTTCTTAGTCAATCATCTAAAAATCTTCTGAAGAATCGTTCTATTTATTCTACATCGATCTATTTATTGATTTATAAACTGGTTGATCTGTAATTTGTTGATTAATTAAACTATTTATCTGTCGATCTCACGATTGATCAATACCTGTTGATCATCGATCTTTAATCTACTGATTATTGATTAGTATATTGATCCTCTGATCAATCTTTCTATTGTAGATTTGTTGTTTTATCAAGCTAATCTTTTTCTGATCTTAATCTGTCCTTTGATCACGATCTGTTGATCAATTACACAGTGAGACAAAATAAACGAAACGAAATTGAAATATAGTGATACTATTTTTCTGAAAGGTGGGTCCGAGTAGAACATGAGTATGTTTTTGAAATTTGCCAAACACCTCCAAAATCTTGAGTTACGGGTAAAAGCCGGTTTTTCGTACCTTTAAGCACTTATAAGCCAGTAACATTGTTGAATCTGAACCGATTTTAAGTTTTTCTAAGGATTTAGAAAGCAGAAGCTGAGGCCTTACAGACCAACCAGTTTATATTGATCTGTTGATCGTTAGAGATCTTAATCAATCACATAAAATTCTTCCTAATAATCTATCGATCTATTGATTTTTCAATCCATTGATCAATCGATCTAATAATTTTTTTTAATTTATCTTTTGATTCGAACATCTCTTGTTCAATCTATCTACTGATCTGATTTTGATAATTAGTTGATATATTGATTATATAGCTGTAGATCTACTGATATATTATTTATTTACTCTACTGATCTTTGATCAATTTTGTGATGGATGGATTTACTGACATATTGATATCTCTATCTGTTGATGCATTCATCTTAGAAATTTGGGATTTAAAAAGACCTTGAGAAAACTTTCATCAATATTCTTGTATTTTTCTTCATTATTCAAGTCCAAAAAATATGTCAAAGTATTGTTTTATAATTTTCTAAAAAATTTAGTTCCAAGCCTTTGAGGTCTTTCAATTTTAATTTCCTTGATTTACTTTCATGTAAAACAACAAATCTCATTTAACAAAACTTAATTATTCCATTTTTTTTTTTTTGCAAACTTTACAAAATATTAATTACACTACAAAAGCTTACAGATTTTGTTCATTATTTCTTTTTTTTTTAATTTATTCATCAATTTTTTTTTTTTTTTTTTTTTTTTGAGAGAATTTTATTATAGTTTTTGTAAATAATTTTCCAGCAAGTGATGCCAAAAAGAAACAAATTTTTTTTTCTGGTACAAAGTAGAATAATAACTTTTTTCTTCTCTTGCACAGCCTTAATGCCAAAAAGAAGGAAATTTGTTTTTTTTTTAACTATTATTATGTTTTATAATAAACAAAATAAAAGTTTCAATGCAGCTGATGGAATTTTTATTTATTCTGTGTGCAAAATTTTAATGAAAAAGTTTGTTGTTATACAAATTTTTTTTTTTACGTTAAAAATTAATAATTTTTCTTAGTTTATAGAAGAAGAAAATATAAACTAATGGTTTAATTGTTTTAATACTGCTATAATGTTTTGTATGCTTTGTTTTTTGTTCTTTTTTTAAAGATGTTATTAGCTTTGTTTGGTTTTGTTTTAAATGAAGAAAACAGTTTCTTTGTTCATTAAAAAGAAAATGTTCCTGTAATAAACTGAAAGCGTAAAAAAGAAACTATAAAAATTTATAAACATTAAGAGACTTTTAAAAATAAGTTGCAGATAGAATAAAAATTTTAAAAAATATATAGAAATCAGGAAAAAGCTTAACCGTCAACATAACGCAATTAATTCCCTTATAATGAAAATTATCGGATATTGGACAATTTGATCTTTAGTGCAAAGGCTCCATTCCCTTAAAAATTTCTTTTTTTTTTATTTTGAGAATTTAAAAATTTATAAACTTTTGTATTTTTTTGTAACTTGCTTCAATTGCAGCATTTCAATTCTTTTGTTTTCAGTGTATTTTTACTTTATTTTAACATATGTTGCCAGTTTTTCAATGAAGCAAAAACAAAGCGTAAAATTCATTTCATTTTAGCTCTTCTTTGTGGGATGGTAAGTGTTGCCAGGTTGGATAATACAAACATTTTTAAATGAAATAAACTTTTTAGAAATGATTACTAAAGAAAGGATGCTTAGAGACAAATGTTACAAAACTATTTTTTTTCAAATGAAGGAAATTTTAGACTGTAATGATATAAAAACAAACTTGTCCCTTGACTTAAGTAGCAAGAGGACTGGTTACTTTTTTTACAAAAGATAATGATTGCCCATAAAATTTACTAAAATAATCAGTTACTTTATGTATTCTGGTTCCCCTGGAATATGTTATCAAAGAATTTAGAATTTTTTTCCAAAAAGTTTGAAAGAAAGAACATTTATTAATTATCTTATTTGGCAACTCTGTTTTGTAATTTGATGTTTTTGGCGTTGTTGCTGCTGTTGAGTTTTTCTTTTTTTTTTTTTTTTGTTTATTGAAACAGAGGTCAAAGGGGCAAAAAGGGAATGATTTCTTTTGAATGTTGTTTACAATATTTCGTTTTGTATGTTCTGTTTGTGCGCCTTTTGTTGCCTACAACTTCCTACATTTTAAATTTGGCGCTTTTTTTGTTTGTTAAATAGCTGGCTGTATGCGTAGAAGGAGGGTATTTTAAATTGGTATTTCAGTAGTTACAGATTAACTAAGAATCTCTTTTTCAGTTACATCTGTCTGTTAGATCATAAGAAAACGTATAATTTTTCATTACTTGTTCGAATTTTTGAAAATATTTAGATGAAATTTATTACATATCGTTTTGTTTAGACCAAGAACGAACAATATAGAAAATTATCTTATATCTTAGTTCAAAATTTAGTCGCTATCACTTTCCGCGTTAATTTAGCAAAGTCTGTCCGTCTGTTCATTTAATTGGTAGAGCGGTTTGTGGGTTAATCGATCTATTAATCTTAAAACTCTATCATTTTATCGATTTATTACCTACTACAACGATTTCTTAAGATATTAATCTTTGATCCTATGATATCCAGATTAATCAATCTATTGATCTTTCGAGTTCTTGTTTAATTACCTAAGGATATTTATAGGCCTCACCGGCCTTTACACCTTGAATGATAGTAGTTGCTGCAACTTTAAAAATAATAAAATAATATTTGGTAATCGGGTTCAAAAACAAGAAAGAGGGAAAGTAGAGAATATACGCTTTCCAAAAAATGATTAGCCGACTTAATATGACTTCCTATGACGCTTCAGATATGTCTGTCTGTCCACATAAATCTTAAATCTTGCAACCAAATATCAGCATCTCAATTTTGAAATATTGTTTTTGGATTAAAAATCGGTATTTGTATAAGATTTAAAAATAAATCATTTCTCAGACTTTCTCTTAGAACCACTTTCTGTATATTGTTGAAAACTCCTGTGCCGACCAAATTTCAAAACGGCGTCGACTAACTTTATTAATGTCCGCAGTGGATTTAAATCATCTGTTGTAAGAAGAGAACTTAAATAAGAGAATCATAAGTGATACAAGTAC